GACTCACATCTTCTGCCGTTTTGGAAGCATATGTTGTTTCAACCAAAATTGGCTCTTCTCGAGGATCGGCTGATGAAGGTTTAGTTGATGCCGAATCGAACGCCTGGGACAACAGCTCCACACCTAGAACCGATTGGGATGCAATGGTTGATAACTGTGAATAAAAGGGGATTAGAAGTTGAACATTAGTTTGAGAAGAATATGGATTGTTTACCTAAGCAGCTGATGGTCTCATTCTACGAAGTCTTTTTCCAGTAACGGCTTTCTGGGTTGCCCCTTAGACCGCCTTACGCTTTGAAGATTGATACGTCACAATTTGTGGGGGCAGCATGGGTTTTCATTAATTTCTTCAAAGAAGATGCAGTTGATACTATTCTTGAAACTGGGCATGGTGGTTGATAATATATAGGATGCCCTTTCCTATCCATGCTTGGAGGATCGAATTCAGCGTCCTAAAAGGGTCGGTTAGAACAACTAGCAAGGGAATTTGTCAAGTAATGTCTCTAAAAAGGGAATGAAAGTTACCTCACTATCAGAAGCGAATTCCCCATCCAACGCTATACACAAATGGTTGACCAACCCATAGAAAAAATATGGGAGTGCCATTCTTGCCACCAGGAGTCAAAGAGAGTGGAAGAGAAGCCGACTCTGATCCAGTCGTGCACACAGAGGGAAGGAAGATCTGATCCCAGTTGAAAGACTCTTGAGGCTTCCATCACCTCACTGATATCTTCTCTTGGCTTCAATGTGTTTTTGAAGAACAATTGAGGGGGGAGTTGACCAAAACCAAACTGACGAGCTACGAAAGATGGATTGTAAAACTCATAAGTTGGAAGGTTGCCTGGAAGAAAGGAGCCTATAGTCATTTTACCATGACCATGATGAAATTCGGCTAGAAGAACGCAGGGCTTGATAAATGAATTAAAAATTGTAGCCGCCGTCTCATCTGAATAGCCTGATTCAAATCGAAATTTGAATGGGAGGATTAGCTCGTTGTTCTCATCCTCATCGTATGGTAGCCAAGTCAGGATGTCTGCATCAAACCCTCTATAAAACTTTTTAAAGAGATGTCCAATATCGATGTCAATTGTTATGGCCAATGCTGCCTCACCATAGTTCATGCACTGACGGGTTATTCCTTCTTTGCCTCTATATTCCTCATCAAAGTTGGAGCAAGAGAAACTCAAGCTTCTGAGATCAGGCCGCACAATCTTGTACATGTACAGGTTGAGCCACAGTTGTATCAACACCAAGGGTCACTGATAGTATGCACTGGTTCGTTCTTCAGTAATTGGGCAGTCACTTGGTACATCAGATGATAAGCAACTCCTAACAGATACTTTCCAAGAGGGATATTCTTGCCTATTGCTAGATGCTCTGCCATTAGTTTATGATTATAAGTTGGACCACAAGATGACCCACAGAAGATGAATCTTTCTAACCACATGTTCAGAAAGGCCACGTATTCCTTTTCACCAATAGTTGATTCGTCTCCAGTATGGTTCAGAATGTAACTTGCCCATCCTGTGCAGTCTGATATCTTAGCTAATTTCTTAGGACCAGCACTCAAGTACTCATAAGGCTGCATTGATCTAGTAATTCTAAGGCCGATCAACATATAAATATCGGCTAGAGTGATGGCCATTGGACCATGACAAAAAACAAAGGCGTTCAGGGTATTGGACTAGAAATAAGATGCGAAAATCAAGAGTGAATCATTCCTCTCCATCCTGGACAACGAGAGTGTCAAACATTGATTCAAATCATAAACCTCCCAATCTTTGGCCTTTTTCTTGGATACCCTACGAAACCAATCTCTCTATCCCTTAGACATTTTAGGCTAGTTTCTGAAGGGGGTTTTGATATTACAGGAGGACGAATCCACTATAGCTTGTTTGAAGGGATTTGGTTGGTTTCTTGATGAATGAAATCAGATGGATTAGGGTCACCCATAGGCCCAAAAAATAGACATTGGAAGCAACAGATGATGGAATCAAGATTTCGTTCCTCATTTTCTAGAAATCGGATGAAATAAATTTGAGAAGAAAAGATGTACAGGGTAGCGATCGGTACTTGGAGAATGGAAACTTGTAAACATACCTCAGGGACGTGGTCACAGGTCGCCATTGAAGCCAAAGTAGATTTGAGTCTGACAAAGATCACTTGAATGATGGCTTGATAGAACAGAGGATTTGCTAGGGTTTGAGCCCTCGGCAATGACGGCGTCGGATGTTAAGATTTGCTCTAGGAAGAAGGGAAAAGCAAACAGGCCAAGTGAGTTGAAAGAGATACTATTGGGATATTATATAAAACTCGGGCCAGGAAGTCAGGAGTCAGCGTATATCTCGGAATAAAACGGTTGCGGCGTGGTAAACGGATAAATAGGAATTTTAGAATAAAATCACTTTTATCCCAAAATTGGGGGGCATGTGTTTACACCAAAATTTGGGAGAAGAACGCGGGAACCCAAAGGCTTCCAAGATTGTGTCAATCAAGGAATCGATTGTATAAGGATCGGTATCAGCTGATTCAGACGTGACATTGGAATCGGCTCTCTTTGAATGACGTCAGCAGATAACGATGATGAGCTACAGTTGGTGTCAGGAAACTACATATCGGACTCTACAAAAGAGGAAAGAATAGGGTCCAACTTATCTTAAGATAGAAATATTTTCTTTTATACCAAAGTTGGTAATGAATCGTACTTAAGTAGAATTCATATTTAGGCTCCGGGTATAAATATTGGACCCCGGCTATTGTAAAAAAACACAATTAATTAAATACAAGTCATTTACTTTTTTGGCTCCTACCAATCCTTACGAGTAGGACAAGAGTAGATCTCGGTGAGTTCTTCAGCAAGCATGACTGCATCGGTCCGCCGACCTTTGGCTTGTCTGTAAGTACCATCATGGCTTATACTTCTTTTCGTACGGCTGCATCGATCCGGTCGACCTCAACTACGACTCTAGTATAAGCTAGTTATCGACTCTTGTCTAGTTCAAGTACGGCTGATCGATTCGGTCGACCTCCACTGCTCAAACTAGATTAAGGTCAAGTTAGGCTCTATCTAAGGGTGGTGTTTCTCGGGTAGATTCATTAAGTTACCGATCTTACTGATTTTTTCATCGCTATTAGTTTATAGCAACATCAATCCGCCTGGTCGAGATCGATTTCGATCGGCCTTATATCCTTCCAGTCCGTTGTTCGCTTTACTATAACACGATGTTTCTTACTCTGAGCGACAGATTATGCTTCATCGGCTATTTTTACTTCGATCTTGATCGTGCATAGCACGCGGTTAAGGCATGAATAATCTTGAAGAGGTTTGTTATCTAGTTGAATCTAGTTTATAGTTCACCATTATGGCTGTAACGATCCGGTCGATCCACACTAATGGCACTGTAGATTGGAGGATGCTAGTTAGTAGATTTGTTCCTGGTTAGGCGTGACCTTAGCTGTTTGCTATACATGCATCGGCTAAATAGCCGATCACCTGTGCGTTAACGCCTATGGTGTGCGTCCATAATTCTGTTAAGCGTGAATAGATCTGTGTACTTTAAGGGTTTGATTCATTGTCTTTTTCATGGCTGCATCGATCCGGTCGAACCCCACTGTTAGAGATAGCAGGTTGAATCTAAGGAGTCCATAGGTTTGTTCACGTAAAATAGTCGATTGTTCACACGTTGTAGTCCTCTTCACCTGAATCAGCTATTTTAGCCGATTCATCCGAGCCTTCACGTATAGCATGTCTTTCGAAAAACCTATTGAAGTATGGATGGTTTTACGGATTCTTCGATTTTAGTTTGTTACTATTATCATAGCTGCCATCGATCTGATCGAACCTCACTGTTGGTGGTAACAGATTAGATTCAAAGCGTCTGTAGATCCGTTTGTATTAGATAGTCGATTTGTTCGCATGCTATATATTTTCTTGTTAGATTCATCGGCTCAATGATTCATACTGATAATATCCACCTAGTTGATGATCTTATTTACATCTATGAGTATTGTACCTGTCAATATGAAGTTGATCGATACCTATGAGCTTTACAGTCCGTAACATCCAATTTCTGTGCGGATCGGCTAATCAGTCGCTCTTCCCGTTTGGCTGCTCCTGAAGTGGCACACTTGAAACTGTCTGGGCACAGACCGGCATGTTCCACCTTAAATTACTGATAAACTTTCTCTTCTTATCAATTGCAGGGTCAAATTGACTGGCACGTCTCGGGAAGAGTATGCAGGATCGATCATCACTGCGTTGAAGTCAGGCGGATCTTTAGCTCCATCGAGTAGACCCTTCCGGCTTGCTCGTGTGTCCGGGACGTTTTCGTGCCGACAGTTATTACCTAAAGTTTTTTAGTTTTATCTTTATTTGTAGCCGAGGATGAATATGTTTTTAGTCTCCTCTTTATTTGTAACTGAGGATGAATATGTTTGAATCTATCGTGAAATAAGATAGAACGAATGAGATTGGGAAGAATGGAGACGAACGTGGTAAAAAGCTACATCCCTAAATAACTTATAATTCAGAATGCAAGAAGTACATTCGAGGAGAACAAAACTAAAAATAGGGGAAGGGCTAGGACAAAGAAAGTACAAAGACATGCGACGGATTCAAGATTCAAATACCAGGTCCGGAGGTGATGAGACCGCATGCCCTTAAGGGCAGAGATGAAACATTGGGACAGGACAGCCCATGTTGTACTCTCAAGAAAGTACGAAAACATTGGAAAAGTTCAAAAAGAAATTGAACAATTTGAAATTTATAAAAGTGAACATAAGATAGGTGGCTAAGTACCCACAAGGTTACATTAATTTAATTAATATTATAAAAGGAATAAACTTGCATAATTTTTTTTTTAAAATCATCTCAAACTATTCCCAACTGTAAACCCTTCAACATATCAACTCTGGGCCTGCTCTTCTTCTTTCTCTAGATCCAGCCCATCCCAAAACCCCATACACCTTCTCGATTTTTCTGGCGGACTGGGCCTTATTACCCTTTCCCTTTCTCCTTTGGCATGGGCCCAGCCTGCAAAGGCCCGCGTGGCCACGTCCCTCACCTTCCTCTCACCGACTTGGCCGCCGCGCACTGCTGTCTCGCCACGCTTGCTGCGGGAACTGGTCTCGCCTCGCGTCGGCGTGTCCTCTTTCTCTCCCTGGTTCGGCATCACCAGCCAGTGTCTCTTGTCCTCTGCTGCCATCGCCGACCGAAGGGCTTCAGCGCCCAAGCCACGCCACGCCACGAAACGACGGCGCGCTGACGGCCGGAACGCGTCCATCTCGCTCCACGCCGCCAACTACGGTACGGTCAGCTGTGGCGCCATCACCGCCCGGCCGCCTGGCCAGCGGTCGCGTACGTACGCTTTGGGCATGCACGCACCGCCTGCTCGGCACCGGCGCCGCCGCGCGATGCGGAAGTGGCGCGTATGCCATGGCGTCGAAGCTAGCTCTCCCGTAGGAGGACGATCGACCTTCGCCGTCGTGAACGCGTCGTCGTCATTGTCCATGGTCGCCGAACGAGCGCATTGCGGGAGTACTATGCAGTAACATGGTCTGTACTCTGTCATCGTGTACGCATGGCCACTGCCCAGGATGGAGTAGGCCGACCCTAACAATATACCACGTCGTCGATGTATGGATCCCGACTTCCCCGGTGTCTAATAAGCTATGCTGTGCTGTTATGTTCTTCGATGCGGCTCAGTTTAAAACAACCTTTTGATGCTAACAAAAAAAAATTACACGGAATATACCATAATAAACAACTATATATATATATACTGTTTTTCACGTCCTGATACATGTGTGCATCCTCTCTCTCTCTCTCTCTCTCTCTCTCTCTCTCTCTCTATATATATATATATATATATATATATATATATATACTGTTTTGCTATAATACATTTGGGTGCATCCTGTATATAGAATGTACCCAGGCCGACGGGCACACCAACTTAGAGCAACCAGCGCGCCCAAGCGAATACATGCATGCATGAAAGTTTTCGTTGGTTTGAATCTTTGAAACAAATTTTCTCCTAAACCGTAACCCCGATTGACAAACCGTTTGTTGCATCCGACTCAAAAAATATATTTTGAGCAAAACTAGATCCAATATGGATATATTTTTTATCCTATAAGCGAGTTGCATGTCAATGTACTACCGATTGCAACTCTGTCTAACACTTAGTTGCAACTAGTTATAACTCTGTGTATTATATGCATCTAGTCACTATAATCACGCCAAGTTGTAATTCTGAGTTGCAGTCAGTGTTAAATACGCTACAGCCAAATTACAATTGTGTTGTAGAAGTGCTTGTAACTCATAGTACAACATATTGTAATTACGTATTTGAAAAAAAAAACTTCATCAAATATAGCCTTCATTGCAACCAGTGCTAAATATGCTACAGCCAAGTTGCAATTGTGTTGTATAAGTGCTTGCAACTCATAGTACAACATATTACAACTCATAGTACAACATATTGCAATTACGTATTTGAAAAAAAAAACTTCATCAAATACAGCTTTCATTGCAACCAGTGCTAAATACGCTACAGTCAAGTGCAATTGTGTTGTAGAAGTGCTTGCAACTCATAGTACAACATATTGTAATTACGTATTTGAAAAAAAAAACTTCATCAAATATAGCCTTCATTGCAACCAGTGCTAAATATGCTACAGCCAAGTTGCAATTGTGTTGTAGAAGTGCTTGCAACTCATAGTACAACATATTACAACTCATAGTACAACATATTGCAATTACGTATTTGAAAAAAAAAACTTCATCAAATACAGCTTTCATTGCAACCAGTGCTAAATACGCTACAGTCAAGTGCAATTGTGTTGTAGAAGTGCTTGCAACTCATAGTACAACATATTGCAATTACGCATTTGAAAAAAAAAACTTCATCAGATACAACCTTCATTGCAACCAGTGCTAAATACGCTACAGCCAAGTTACAATTGTGTTGTAGAAGTGCCTACAACTCATAGTACAACACATTGCAATTACGTATTTGAAAAAAAAACTTCATCAAATACAACCTTCATAGATCTCGCTGTGTTAAGCATATTTTTTTCAACAACCTACTTCAAACAGATCTAAAATCGGATCTGTGGTATAGAAGATATCACATTTTTTCGTTTAGAATCAACAAAAGTTTCCCTGCATGCATGCTTTCTGGTGTGGTAGGTTGAGCTGTTAGGTAGCATCACGTAGTTGGTTGTCTCCATTTAATTTTGCATGCAGGAGCATGGACTTACCTCGCGCTCCACGCATCTCGTGCTTTCATGGTCGGGTGCATTTGTTTGCATATATATATATATATATATATATATATATATATATATATATATATATATATATATATATATATATATATATATATATATATATACACTATCATTAAACCGGCGAGCCTCGGCTGTCGCTTAGACCATCCACGTCGCCCCGAATTCCCTCCTCTGTTCGATCTTTGGTCCTACGGTCAAGATCTATTGAATCAGATTTCGTCTGAAGCGGCTCCTCGTGCTTCTCCTTACCTTATCCGGCTTTTTCATCGTTTCTTGTCGGATTCTCCGGCTTCTCCATCGAATCCACAAAAGCAAATATATACTCCCCGTGCAAGACCGTGGAGTACTCAGCTTCCGCTTCTGTTTCCCGAGTCTTCTCGTCGTCCCCTCCTCTCTCTCTCCCCATCGCTCTCTCCTTCACGTCTCGCGTCGCGCCTAGAGAGAGAGAGAGTCCCCGATCGACACCATAAATCAATTGGAGATCGAAAGAGAGAAAAAAAAAAGACCTAGCAGGAGGAGAAACCAAAACAATGGCCGCTAAGCCGCCGCACGTCCTACTAATCGACTGTCCCCCGTCAAGGCACGACGGCGGCGGCGGGAGGCAGCGTCGAGCAAGGAGGAACGACCCCACCTGCGGGGAAAAAGCATGCGCCGTGGCCGTTCTGGTCCTCCTCGGCGCGGCCGTGATCACCGGCCTCACTTGAAGGACAAGGACCCCGTGTTCACGGTGGCCATCACGGGCGTCACCGGCCTGGACCCAGCGTGGGACGTCGACCCGCCGCCCTCGCCGGCGGCTGGCAGCAGCCCGCCGCCCCCGTCGGCGCCGCTCTCCCCGGTGTTCAACCTCACGTTCCAGATCGACAACACGCGCAACGCGTACTACAAGGCGTGCTTCCCGGGCCTCTCCAGGGCGGACGTCTCGTACGGGGACGCCTTCCTCGCCGGCGGCTCCGTGCCGCCCTTGTGCGCCGGGGAGAAGTGCCGGAGCGACCCCGTGGCGGCCAGGGCGTGGGGCGAGAACGTCGCGGTGCCGAGGTTCCTCAGGGACCAGCTCGCCGCGGGCGACGCGTCGGTGGACGTCAAGGTGACCATGCCGACTTACTGTGGGAAAGCCTGGTGCGGCGGCGCCGTGCTCTCCTGCAAGCCCAAGATCGGAGGCGGGGACGTCTCCGGGCTGTCGGCTAGATTTCATTTAAGCTAGCCCTCGATCTTTCCTGTAAGTTAGGCTGACGATACTACAACAGTTATTTGTTTTCTAGCTAGTCCTTCGATTTAATACAATTGTACTATTTACCCCTTATAAATATTCATCCTAGTCTTTTCTTTTAAAACAATGTTGTTATTATGCTCAAATTGTGATGTGATTGTGGGCATCCCAACCCAAGTGCGATTTTTTTTTTTGAAGATTCAAGTGCTCCAGTAGTCCTTCGTACTCTTGTGGCGGTCGTCGATTGTCGAGGAAGACAATATTGTGGCGGTCCTCAATCATCGAGGAAGAAGCCCGTGCGATGTGGATTAGAGGGTGGGAGGGAAGGGGAAGTGACACGAGCCACCATGGGCAACTGGTGACCCCTTTGACAGTGGCAAGCCATCGGTAGGCTGACCGAGGAGATGTGGATGAGGCACGACAAGGTGGCAAAGATGAGAAGGAGGAGAGGGGTGCCGACAGAGGAGGCGCGAGTGGGCCACGACATAGCGATGGCAAAGGCAGTTTAGGAGGAGAGGAGTGACGACGACAGAGGAGGTGTAGGCGAGGCAGTGGCGTATGCGTGGGGGCCAGCGTTGTTAGAGAATACTTATCCGTTCTAAATTATAAGTCGCTTTGACTTTTGGTTCATCCATTTTGCTATGTATCTAGACATATTATTTATCTAGATGCATAGTAAAATATATGTACAAAAAAAAATCAAAGCGACTTATAATTTGGAATGGATGGAGTAAATAGGAAAAAGGGCACACTCATGCCAGATGGGCTTCATACGCCAAGCGAGTTACTTTATGGTCAGAGTTTTCTCATTTTCCTATAGAAGCAAGGGGAAAGTAAATTAAGAGTAGTCTCTTGAACATAGAAAAGTTTTCTAAGGCTCCCCAAATAACTTTTTTTTGGGGGGGAGGGGATGAGGGGGCGTTTGAGGCATTCTCCATCTGCTGGAGATGCTTTTACCCTCTCGAGACCCCAAATATAGCTTCATTTGGACTTAATTTGGCACAAGAAATTAAGGTGAGGGATAAGATGTTTAGAGAAGGGAGACAAAGGAAATATTGACATCTTGCGGATGTTGTCGACCAGTGTTTAGCAAAACACACCTTAGTATTAGTGGCATTACGAGAGAAATTACGACATGGCATATTGGTATTGGACTGGAGAGCATAAATGTTAATGAAAACTGCATATTCGTTGGCGGTATCATTTTGGACGCCAAGGAAATTCCAGGCGCTGCCTATAATATAGTTCGTTTTTTTAGTAGTGGAAACTCTATGTCACTTGTTACTATCACAAGGACATGATCTCTGTGAACTATGACAATGGTTTTACATTAGCTCTTGCGTCCCACCAATTACGTATGCTCATATTCGTATATTTGAGATGACATCGGTTCTGTTCTAGACTGGATCGAGTAGATATTGACAAGAAGTGGCCATGTAGGTGCGTTCACTAACTCGAAGAAGAGAGTAGAGACGTACGTATTACTGGAGAAAGTTAGGGCAAAGAACTGGAGTGTACGTGTGCCGCCAGTCAAAAAAAAAAACCCAAGTCAGAGATATCGGTTCACAGATAACTCGATTCAGCAACCTCAGGGGAAGGGAGGTCGGAATCAGCAAGCAGGGGAATCGAGGCTAGGAGGAAGGTACGAGAAGGTTCTAGAAGGGACTGGAGGTAGGTACAGAGAGGCAGAGGTCGAAGGAGGAAGGAGTACAGGGAGATGTATATTATTATCTTCTGAATAATCGATGCGTTTCCCAGCTCCTGCTCTCTTACTTTTCCCATCCAAGCAGAGTCCGAACTGGGCTCAAAGCCCAGGCCAAAGCGACGGCCCAGCATAGCTGATCTCTAACAAGGCGTGCCGCGTGCGCAATTACCACAGGCCTGGGCCAGAGCCGGCTCGATCACCACGCAGACGCAGTACGGACGGAGCTAGCTCCCCTCCAACTGCAAGCACCTTCCGTCCTCGATCAAGTGTTAGGCAGGCCAGGCGATACTTGTTTATCCGCTCTTTGCTGGTCTGATGAGTTGTGATTGTGAATCACCGGCCGCGTCGGCGCGCTCGTCCTCCACACGCCACGCGCAGGCCTCCGTTTTGTCTCCATTGCATTGCGCACGCCAAGTGTTTTGGGATGGCGGTTCTCCCGACGCCAATGCCTGCAGCTGTTTCACGTGGCCTATGCCACCCCGAACGTCACCAACATCAAGAAAGAAGGGAGGGGTGGCGGATGCTCAGCCGGCACTAGGAGGAGGAGGAGGAGACACCGATGCGAGACAGCAGAAAGCCAGGAGGAAGATGCAACGTCCGATCTACTTTTGAAACATCCAAACGAAACATTTGCAACATGCGTCTAAAGACAGATAAAACACTTGAAACATGCGTATGAAACACTTGAAAAAACACATGAAAACACTTGAAAAAGCCATTGCAAAATATATGCAACATCCAGATAAAGCACTTGCAACATATGTGTGAAACATATACAACATCCAAATAAACACACTTGCTACATACGTCTGAAAAAATAGATGAATCATTTGGAACAGGCACTTGCAACATACGTTTACAACCATTGCAACATGTGAAACATCTTGATCTACTTTTGCAACATCCATATAAAATACCTGCAACATACTTCTAAAGCACATGAAATATACGTTTGCAACATGTTGTTTCAGCGCAACATCTCGCGGGTGGCCTCCGCCCCCGGCAATCGCCGCGAGCTCCGCGGGTGGAGTGTGCGCTCCGCTTCGGTGATTGTTTTTTCTTTAGAAACTATGGTGACGAGTAGATACGGTGGATATTTGGGCTGGCGTCGCGGTCCACCAACGAAAGCGTTCGGGCATATGGACACCCTGTGCCAGGGAGAAGCGTACGAGCTGGTGCATGGCGGCCAAGGCGTGGGGCGACTCCTCAGGGACCAGCTCGCCGCTGAGCTCATCGGTGGACGTCAAGGTCACCATGCCGACGTATTGTATGAAAGCGTGGTGCGGCAGCGCCGTGCTCTCCTGCAAGCCCAAGATCGGAGGCGGGACGTCTCCGGCCTGTCGGCTCGATTTCCTTTAAGCCCTCGTTCTTTTAAGTCTTTCCTGTAAGTTAGGAAATAGTTATTTTCGTTCTAGCTAGTCCTTAAATTTGAAACAATTATATACTGTACTATTTACGTGCCGTCAATATTCTTCCCTACATTTACATTTTAAAAAAATAATGTTATTATATGCCCAAATTATGACGTGATTGTGAGGATCCCAACCCCCTACGAGAAAAAAAAAACTATTTTTATTTGGAATTTAAGTGATTCAAGAGTAACCCAATAAAAAAATCTTAGACCCCTAAAATCTGTCCTCCAACCCTTCAAAAGATGAGGAGGAACCTTCGGTCCCCCAATACTTGAGTTTTTTTGGCGGGAGGTTCAACTGTCGTCGTCGAAGAAGCCAGCTGTCGAGGTACTTGTCAGCCGCCGACCGTTGTGGTAGCCATAGATGGTCAAGGAAGACAATCACCAAGCCAACACAATGTGGATCAGAGGACGGGGAGAGGAAGCGATACGGTGTCTACCAACACAAGCCGTCATAGCCATAGACGTCCTGGTTTGTAAGCATCGTACGTGATAACGTGTATCAAACCTTCTCAAATTTTTATCACATCCTCCACATACGATATCATGATATCTCGACAAGTTTCATGATTTTCGGACTTCGTTTGCATTTTATAGAATTTAAAAACAATTCGTTCGCAAGTTCGTGGTCATGTTTCGTGAACAAGATGTTTGAAATTTTGGGTCCGTTCCTGGATACACTCGATACCATGAATATCATTTTTTGAATCATTAAATTCCATTATTCGATGCACATGTAGTTCAAATTTGCATTTTCTGAAAAAATTCAATTAAATGAAATAAATTAATCAAATATAGCAAACAGTTCGGGAAATATACCAAATTTCGACATGGAGTACCAAGTACTATAAGAGGACTACATAAAAAGTTTAGAGATCAAAATACAAAAAAAATTGGTTTGCCGAGTGTCATCTTTTGACACTCGGCAAACATGCTCTTTGCCGAGTGCCAGCTACCAGGCACTCGGCCAAAGTGTTCCCTTTGCCGAGTGTCCGTGGGGACACTCGGCAAAGAGCGTGCCAATTTTTTTTAAAAATGTTTGTCGAGTGCCTCTCCACCCGACACTCGGCAAAGTGGTATTTTTTTTAAACAAATACGATGCAGTGCGGTTTAGGGTTTAGATTTCAAAAAAAAAGGAAAACACGTTTGCCAAGTGCCTCGATCTGGCACTCGGCAAACCGGCCCATCCACACTTAACCGTTACCTCCCCTCCACACACCACACACACACACACACACGCCCCTCCCGTCGCGCTGCCCGCCCACCCGCCCGCCCCTCGCCCCACCCCCTCCCCTGCCCGCCAAGCCGCCCTGCAGGCCCACCTCCCCCCCCATCGCCACAGACGCTTTGCCGCTTCAAGCGTCCGCCACCACCGGCCGCCACCAACGCCACGCCACCGCGCTTCTTCGCGCCACTCGCCGCAGCCCCTCCCGCGCACCGCGCTGGCGCCTGCCGCCGCCTGCGCCACGTGTGGCCGAAGGGCATGGCCTGCCACGCACCCCCGCCAACGGCGGGTGGAGGAGGGGAGGAGGAGGAGGGGGAGGAGGAGGAGGAGGAGGAGGAGTAGGAGCCGGCCCTGCCCCCGACCGCGCCCCGTGGACCACCCGCCCCGACACCGCCCGTAACCGACCCCGTTCCCGACTCCGGCGACCCCGACGCCGACCCCAACGCCACCCGCCCCTACCCCCGACGCCCGTCAGGTATGCCCTCTCTCTTGTAGTTGCCGTGGTAGTGATAGTTGTAGTAGTATTAGTTGTAGTAGTAGTGCTAGTGGTAGTAGTAGTATTAGAAGTAATGGTATTAGTAGTAGAACTAGTGGTAGTAGTAGTAGTAGAAGTAGTGGTAGTAGTAGTAGTAGAACTAGTGGTAGTAGTAGTAGCATTAGTGGTAGTAGTAGTAGTAGAACTAGTGGTAGTAGTAGTAGCAATAGTGGAAGTAGTAGTAGAAGTAGTGGTACTACTTGGATATATTCTTCTGCATGGATTGATATCCAAACTACATGGCTTCTCTTGAGACATATGTGCTTGTCGGCCATCGTGCCGTTGTTTTTTGTAGGTTTTGGAAACCTCACCGTGCAGGGGAGGTTCTGCAGATTTTTTTTAAATGACAGTATTTTGTTCCATTTTTGTAGAGAAGAGCCCGTTGGAGCCGAGTCGGAGTTCCCGTTGCCGTGCCGGTCTGCCTGCACCGCGTCGCCTCGCCACTGCACTGACCCGCCATGGCCCCGCTAGCCTGACTCCGCCGCCACCCTAGGTATAACCCCTCTTTCCGTATCATGGTCGTAGATCACGTAACCCAGTTAGGCGTCTCCCGTTCGAAAGAGATACGATTGGAGGTATGCGAGATCTTTGCATATCTATGACCGTATCTATTTCGGATTGTCCACGTTTTTGGACAGCCAGCGGATGCGTAGATGGGTTAGTTTCATGGTTCTTCCGGCTCGAGATAGAGTTTGACATCACCTCCCTGTTGTTCTCCGGATACGCACTCTTCTTTGGCAGGACATGTATCTGGAGAACAGCGGGGAGGTGCTACCAAAATTCTGTCTCGGATAGGAGTAGAGCATGAAAACTAACCTTATTTACGCATCCGCAGGTGGGATTAGGACCTATCCTCACCTATTAGATAGTAGGAACACCATATAGATGCAATTGATGGTTACATTACTCGTTGATACATATGTCAAAGGATGGATGACCGTCAGTGGATGTACACGGGCTGGAGAAGTCAGAGTGATTACACCACGGAATGGATGAACAAGACCAATGCTTTCTTGAGCGATTGCATTTGGCAAAATTTGCTAAAGGACATTGCCTAGTTTTGTGTCCTGCAGCAAATGTGGAAACAGGAGAAGGGTAAACAAGGTGGAAATGGGTAAACATCTTGTGAAAATGGATTTACGCCGGACTACACCCGATGGGTCCACCATGGTGAAGCCCATCGTATGAGAGAGAGGAGGTGAGACCACGGGTGGAGGCTTTTGATGTTGATGCCGGGGTAGCAGACATGTTAGATGACTTTCACCAAGGACAGTTCGATGAGGGACGTGAGAAGGAGGAGATGGAGGCAGCCGCACAGGCGTTCTACGACATGATGGACTCGCACAGAAACCCCTTCACGATCGGTCAACGGTGTCTCAACTGGATGCCATTGGACGCTTAATGGGGTTGAAGTCCGAGTTAAACTTGAGTCGAGAAGGCTTCGATAAGATGTTGGACGTGATTGGCACCTTGCTTCCGGAGGGCCACATTCTGCCAAAGAGCATGTATGAGTCACAGAAACTCCTTCGTGCACTTAAGATGTCGTATGAGTAGATACATGCTTGTCCGAAGGGGTGCGTCCTATTTAGGAAAGAACACGAGCATGCAAAGTTCTATCCAAAGTGTAAATCCTCCAGGTACCTGGAGGTCGACTCTGATGATGGTCAGAAGAGGCAACTTACGATCCCCGTGAAAATCCTACGGTACCTTCCGTTCCTACCGAGGATCCAACGGCTATACATGACCAAGGAATCCACGAAACAGATGACATGGCACAAAAATGGCAAACAGTACAATCCTGACAAGATGGTACATCCATCCGATGGTGAAGCTTGGATCCGCTTTAATGACAAACATCGTGACAAAGCAGATGAGGCTCGTAATGTACGTGTCGCGCTGGCAACAGATGGGTTCAATCCTTATGGAATGATGGCTGCCCCATACACATGTTGGCCCGTCTTCGTTATCCCCCTTAATCTCCCCCCGGTGTCTCCTTTCAACGACATAACGTATTCTTGTCGTTGATAATTCCTGGACACCCAGGGAGTAATATGGGTGTGTTCATGGAGCCCGTGTTTGATGACACTACAAAAAAAGTTCACTTCTGAGATGATTCATTTTTGTCACAGTACATGCAAATAACGTCATCAAAACATATCTGTGATGAACTTATGATGAAATTCTGATCGTCATCTTTGTAGTGTCACATTTGTTGCACGGTGACGCTTTAGTGTTTTTTGTCACAGATAGAGTTACATCCATGACGCTTTCCCCTCCGTCATTGATCTATTTCAGCAGGTGTTCTAGTGGACACGTGTATGATGGAGATGTGTACATGTGTATGATGAGGATGTCGACACATGTTTGACGAGGAGGTTGACACGTGTACTGTTTGTAGGTTGACACGTGGTGCTCTCGTGCTCATTTACGTGGCAGCATGTAAGATGACATGGCAAGACGTTGGAGATGACGTGGCAGCAAGTTAGAGATGACGTGGCGACTATTACTTAGTGACGTTTGTTTTCGTCATAGTATAGATTTGACGAATTCGATATAATTCACAGGTAGTACCATTATTGTCAGGCCTGAGCACTGATCCCATACACATGCAGCACAAGTTTATTCATCAAGCACCAACATAGTTTCATACAACACAAATTTATGTTCAAATACAACCAGAGTTTCCTAACACGGGAAACAAGTTCACACACATCCAACAGACCAAGTTCCAAAGCAAAGGTACCAAACCATAGACAAGTTCATAGGCAACATAACTGATAGACCAAGTTTAGTAACTTATTATGAGGACCAACAAAGCACCACCACTCCTTTCGCTTCGGTGAGACTCCATGGCACTCCAAGGAACCCGAGCTGCACAGAGCAAGCTAAGTAGCTCGATTACACGAGTTGAGGTTCAAGATGCTTGTTCAAGTAATGAGATCATTAACTTCTTGTTTCTTCTTGAACTCCTCCATCTCTTCTTTGGGCCTTATGCACTTCTTCTTGGGTCTTGGCCATTGATTCTTCTGTTTCTTCAGCTTTCTTCTTTAGGTAGTCCAATTCTTCTTGAAGTAGATTAGCCCGTTGCTTTTTGGCCTGCACCTGTTCTCTTAGTTGTGCTTCTCTTGTAGGTGATGCGAGATTTGCTTCTTGGTGTTTCAATACCAAAGCATTCTTGAGGAATGTAGAGGTGCCTTTGGTTTGTGAGAGAACCTTGGAGACAATCTCAGTACTAGATCTTGGTGTTTCTAAATCTTGAGCAGGCTGGGCCAACATATTTTCCATGGCAGCCTACAACAAACAGGTGGAAAAAGGATAAGATAACTATGGAGTCCATTTCACAAGCAGACATGAAAATCATCATCCCTGTTAAATCTAGTGACAACATCATCCATGTACCTTGAGCAAAAGGTCAAGGCCTCATTAGCTATGTACGCCTCAGCGATGGATCCTTCAGGTCTAGCCCTATTCCTCACATACCCCTTCAAAGTGCCATTTGGCGTTCTATCGGGTACATCCATCCATATTGAACAGGACCTCTTGGGAGTGCTTCATCAGGAAGGTGGACAGCCAAGTGGACCATCACATCAAAAAAGGCAGGAGGAAAAATTTTCTCTAGCTTGCATAGTATCACAGGGATTTCTGCCTTTACACGTTTGATCACATCAACCTTTAGTTTCCTACTGCAAAGCTCTCGGAAAAATTTACCCAACTCTCCAACTACTTCATATATGTCCTTATGCACTAGTCCTCGGAGACCAACAGGTAAAATTCTTTGGAGCAGTATGTGGCAATCATGGGTTTTGAGGCCCTGCACCTTGGAACCATCTGCACTAATGCATCTTGTCAGGTTGGAAGCGTATCCATATGGAAACCGAATACTTTTTAGAAATCCACAAAATGCAACCCTTTCTTCTTTTTCCATGGCATACCATCTTCTTTGGCATGGAAACCGAATTCCACCATCTTCTTCTAAATGCGATTCGTGTCGTATGCCCATATCCCGCAAATCAAGCCTTGCATTAAGCTTGTATCCTTATTCTTGCCCTCAAGGCGGAGTATTATGCCTAGAAGGGCATCACATATATTCTTCTCTATATGCATCACATCAAGATTGTGTGGCGACTTCAAGTGTTTCCAATAAGGTAGTTCCCATAGAGCTGACTTTTGGCTAAACAATTTTGGCTCCTTGTCCTTCTATCCATGCTTCCTTTTCTTGCTACCATCATGCTTACCAGAACACACATCTTTTACCTTCTCTAGACACTCCAATGTCTCATCCATACTCAGCATTTGTGGCTCAACCCAGTTTTCTCGGTGTCCATCAAAGGCCAAGCTTCTTTGCCACTTGTGATTTTTTGGAAGGTAGCGACGGTGTCCAATGTAACAAATCTTTTTCCTAAGACTCCTTGACAATGGATCTCTGTTGCAATAAATGCATGCATAGTAGCCTTTGGTAATTCGCATACGACAATACACCCAAAGTTGGATAGTCATGGATGCACCATAATCTTTAAAGACGAAGGTCAAACTTTTGCCGATGAATGCATCATAAGTCTTGACACCCTCCTAGAGTTTTAACAAATCCTCAATGAGTGGTTGTAAGAATATGTCAAAGTCCTTGCCTAGAGACTTTGGTCCTGGGATGAGCAATGACATGTAGCAGTTGGATGCATCGGTGCATGACCATGGAGGAAGATTGTATACCCTTACAAGTACAGGCCACATGCTATAAGTTGTGTTCATGTTCCCGAAAGGATTGAAGCCATCTGTAGCTAAACCAAGCCTTAGGTTTCTTGCATCTTCAGCAAAGCTTGGATACACCTCATGAAAGTCTTTCCAGGCTTCACCATCAGCTGGATGGCTCATTTCATTGTACACAGGAACCCACTTATCCTTGTGCCACTGGGTCTCCTCAGATGTTGATTTCTTTGCAAACATCCTCTTCAGCCTATGTATAAGAGGAAAATATCTCAAAATCTTCTTAGGAATCCTTTTGGCACCATCTGCATCTACCCACCTAGATTTCTTGCATTTTGGGCAGTTGTCCGCTTTGGCAAGATCCTTCCGAAACAACACACAATTATTGTCACAGACATGGATTAACTCATAACCAAGACCCAATTCTTTGAGATACCTCTTTGCTTTGTCATATGAATCTGGAAGACCACAGTTAGGGAATGACCCTGACAATAACTTCAATATCACACTTAATGCTGTGTTAATGATCCTATAGGACTTGATATGTAACAGTCTCACTAGAAAAGAGAACCTAGACTGAATAGAACCTGGGCAAAGAGCACGTTTTGCATCTTCAAGTACTTTCGCAAACATAGGCTGTTCTCCATCTTCTTGTACAACTACGTACAAGTCAGCTAGCATCTCTGACGTACCGTGATCATCCTCATTGTCAGGCTCATCCACATGCAGCACATCAACAAGATCATCAGGTTCATTTGCATCCTCTGCATCTTCCACAATATCAGCATCAAAAGCTTCTCCATGGTGTACCCACCTAGTGTATGTAGCTGATCATCCATAGAGATACATATGGTCATACACTTCCTTCTGACTCCATGAAGACTGATTCAGACAATTGTGACATGGGCAAGGTATAGCATCATCCGCATTGTATCTACCTCGAACATAAGACAAACTGATCAATGCCATCATTGAATTGATCACTGAACCGAGCAGCACGAATCCATGTTCTGTCCATCTAATAAAAATGTAACAATTACCTCTAATTAGCCATGTCTAAACAGCTACCGAATCCACTGAATTGCAAGCTTTGGGAGAGGACAATACCTCAGGTACGCTAGAGCAGAGAAGCCACACAGCAGTAGTCGCTTGAGCGGCAAAGCAGCAGAGATAGCATGTACGCCGAGCCAAGAAGCCCACAGTGGTTGCCGGCCGAAGGAGCCTGCCGAACCCAGCCTATGTCACGAAGTTTGCCGCTTGAGCAAAGCCACGCTACATCTGCTTGCCTGCCCCACCGGCACATCCCATAGTAGATGACCGCCAGAGCAGCAAGGCCGGTGGAGTAGTCCGCCAGAGCTGCCCACCAAAGAGGCTCGCCGTAGATGGTCGGCGCAGAGGTCCGCCGCTGGAGCACCTCCTCCCACCCCGCTGATTCGATTTGTATCAACCACCACAACACGATTGGATTGGGTTTGGGTCATATGAAAGATCTGATAGTCAATAATAAAATAAGTTCCCACACTTTACCATGAACAAAATTATGCTCGATGGTAAGGTAACTAGACTCGAGTTGGTAGGTCTTTGGGTTCGATCCCCACGCCACGCGCACATTTTTTTTTTCAAATTTGTCTTTTATGACAAAATAAACACCGACGACATGTGGGACCACAACCGCCAAAATATCAGAGTTTTTAAAACTCCACATTTATGACGAAAATGTATATCGACATGTGGGACCACAACGGTGAAACTATTGACTATCACTTCTATGATGAAGCTCTGAACCCTTCTATGACGGTAATTCCAAATTTGTCACAGAGGAACAAATGGGCTGACGGCCAAACCAAGCATCCATGATGTTCTACATAATTTCGTCATTAATGAACCATATTCAGTGACTGAAATTGAATTCATCATTCCCAAAACATCATAGATGAAAGGATTTCTAGTAGTGTGGTCCGTGCTTGGGACGAAGGGGTATGGACATACGATCGAGCTACAAAGACAACCTTCAAAATGCACGTTTGGTACCACTACTCCCTGCATGACTTCCTGGTGTATGGGATATTCTGTGCCTGGTGTGTTCACGGGAAGTTCCCATGCCCAATATGCAAGGAAGGTGTGAGGTTCATTTGGTTGCAGAAGGGTGGCAAGTATTCGTCGTTCGACAGACATCGTCAATTCCTATCTCTTGACCATCCATTCAGACAAGACATCAAGAACTTTACGAAAGGTGTCAAAGTGACAAACCTTGCACCGCGGATGATGACTGGTGCTGAGGTTCATGCTCAGATAGATGCTCTCGTGCCCAATGAAGAAGGTGGTTTTGTGGGATATGGTGAGCAACATATGTGGACTCATATCTCAGGCATGACGAGGCTCCTCTATTTTGATGACCTTCTTCTGCCACATAACATTGATGTAATGCACACTGAAAAGAATGTCGCCAAGGCACTTTGGGCAACACTCATGGACACTGAAAAGTCTAAGGACAACCCTAAGGCTAGAGTGGACCTAGCAACGTTGTGCGATAGACCAAATCAAGAGATGCAGCCTCCTAGTTGTGGCAAGACCTGGAGAAGGCCTAAGGCCAATTTTTTCTTGAAAAGGGACCAAAGGAGGGAAGTACTTGAATGGATCCAGACGCTAATGTTCCCTAATGGGTATGTAGCGAATCTAAAGAGGGGAGTGAACTTAGGCACTCTACGAGTCAACGGGATGAAGAATCATGACTATCACATATGGATTGAGTGGCTTCTTCTGGCGATGGTTCGAGGCTATGTCCTAGAGCATGTTTGGCAAGTGCTGGCAGAGTTGATCTACTTATTCCGCCAGCTTTGTGCCAAGGAGCTCTCTCGGACCGTCATTGACGACTTGGAAAAAGTGGCACCCGTGTTGCTCTGTAAGTTGGAGAAGATCTTTCCACCCAGCTGCTTCTTGCCGATACAGCATTTGATTGTGCACCTCCTGTATGAGGCACGGATGGGGGGGCCCGTGTAGGACCGTTGGTGCTATCTAATCAAGAGATGTCTGAAGACTCTTCGCAAAAAATGTAGAAATAAAGCCAAAATTGTGGCTTCCATTGCAGAGGCATACATTCTAGAGGAGGTGTCGAACTTCATAGAGAAATACTACACTGAGAACCTTCCTAGCGTTTATAATCCACCCCCTTGTTACAATGCTAGCGAAAATGAATCGAACCTCAGCCTTTTCCAAGGGCAACTTGGAAGCACAAGTGCATCGACCACTAAGCAATTGAAAAATGAAGAGTGGCGCAGTATCATGCTATATGTGTTGACCAACCTTATCGAGGTGCAGCCGTTCGTTGGGTAAGTTATGAAGGAACTTGTTTCATTTCGCCGTATGTCCTTGTTTTTTCGTCCAACCCCCTTGTTTCTCATTGGTACAGGCAATTTCTTCATCAATCCTAGCATGGATCAAGGCAACCTACCCCACAAGAAAATGATACCCTTCTTTCACAGGGTGCGGGACCAGAGAGCCCCGATTTCATTTGTTGGTTCAAACAGAAAGCCCAAACTGATGCGCCTATAAGTGACGAGCTGAGACAGGTTGCAAACGGCTGTGCCATTAGGGTCAAGTCATTTACCGGTTATGACGTGAATGGATACCGTTTTCATACAGCAAGCTACGAGCAGAATCGACCCAATCGAAAAACCACAAACAACGGAGTTGTTACGCCCGGCACTGATGGACTCGACTAGTATGAAAGAATTGAAGAAATCTACGAACTATCATTCTATGGTTCCAAACCTCTTACTCCTATCATATTCAAATGCCACTGGTTTCATCCTGGAGTAACGAGATGGACCCCTAAGCTTGGGCTAGTCGAGATTCAATAGGATTTCGTCTATCTAGGAAAAGATGTCTACATTGTGGCTCAACAGGCCATCCAGGTTTATTATACGTCATACGCGTGCAAAGACGCCGAGCATCTTAAGGGTTGGTCTATTGTGCACAAGGTATTGCCACACGGTAAACTACCTGTCCCAAACAATGAAGGTTACAACTTCAACCCAAACACATATGATGGAGAGTTCTATCAAGAAGAGGGGCTATAAGGGAGGTTTGACATAGACTTAACCGAAGAGATAGGAATGGAAGTAGACAATGAAAGGGATGATGACGAGGACGCTGGAGACGATGTGCGAAATCTGAAGGACATACAAATGCTTGAGCGATTACGTTTAGGCAATGACAATGAAGACAACATTCCTCCTTCGAATAGTGTTGATGAGTTGGACAATATTGATAGTGATGACGAGACCTATGATCTAGCTAATCTCAATCATGAAGATTATTTCTAATACATGTAATACTATGTTTTTTGTAATTATGTTTTGTTCATTTTTGCATATATTTCTAATACATGTATTACTATATTTTTTGTAATTATGTTTTGTTCATTTTTGCACCTATTTCTAATTACGTCTTGTTTTTCTTTTTTATTGTAGGTGATTGAACAAAGATGGCGGGCGACCGTCATAGGTCCGTGAACTCGATTTACCAAAGACCACGCCGGCTATAGGAGAAGGCGGAGGGGGCGGCGGAGGGATCGGACAGCAGGAGGAGGAGGACCGCCAGCTGTAGGAGGGGGCCGTCTCCTCCCATGCCGCATGAGGAGGAGCTAGAGGAGGAGGTGGCGCCCATGGACGAGTCGGACAATGAGCTGGTTCGGCAGATGGATGAGGAGGAAGGGCCGCACGAGGACGACGAGGCGGCAGGCACGGGTTCCGCTTCCTCCGACTCCTCTTCGAGTGTCTACTTGCGAGGTCCCGCGAGCCTCCCACAGGTTCCGCTTCCTCACCAACGTCCAGTGATTCGCCCCGAAGGGCAAAAGTAAGTAACTTTATATGTTATCACCACTACTTCATATGATATGATGAAAAAAACTAATAATTTTTCTTAATCACTTGTGCAGGAACTGGGTGGTTGTGTCAGGTGGTAGCGCACGGCTAGTCAACGGCATCCTGGGTCTTCTGTGCAGGCAACACTTCCTCGGCATTGTCACGTACGCATCGAAGATGGAGCCGGCCTACTCGTTTGACCACTACGCCGTCACCCTCGATGCGGAGTATCCCAACAAGGCGGCGTGGGTGAAGGCAGAGTTTTGGGTAAGTCTCCCTCGCACAACATTGCTCAATACGTTGCATTCATTGGACTTTTCTTGAAATAATGAATGGATACATTGCTTTTGTATGCAGACTTATTACAGATGCGAGGAGGGATTTGAGGCCAGGGCAGAGCAGGTGACTACCAAAGCCTGTAAAAAACTTGTCACCGACATGCATCACGAGGTGTGCATCCAGGCCATCGTAACCTACTACGGGTCGAAGCTTGGAGAGAGGAAAACCAAGAAAAACGCAAGAGAGATGCAGCTGACCCGAGAGTAGTACCTTGAGGTAAATGAAGAACATCAATATTGATTCGTTTCGAGATTAAGTTGGTTTAATTTGATCTTCTTATATGTCCAATACTTGATGACGTGTAGATGATTCCCTGGTGGTGCCAAGCATATCTCGAGTGCCGGGCGATGATGGTGGAGAGGTGGTTCACGGAGGAGTACCTCAAGATGCACAGGGATGCCTGGGACCGTCGTTTGCAGATGCAAGGTCCAGCACACCATCAAGGCAGCTGCAGCCTCGCCGGATACAAACAAGCATGGGTACGTGAATTCATTTATCTATTGTGACGCTCAGTTCTGCCTGATTTCTAATCATCGTGCTGTCTTTCTCGCAGTCGGCATCACATAGTGGCCAGGCTTGCTCAGACTTCCAGGCATGGT